GAGAGAGAGAGAGAGAGGGCGAGGGGGGAAAGAGAGGAGAGAGCGCTCGAAATGCTGGTTCTAAGGGGTTTTGGCTACTATTGCCTGCCGCCCAAAAACCAGCATCCTTGTGGGGGCGCGCGCCGTCTCCATCGGCATCTGACAGCACAATCTGGGCCTAGCAGTCGCAGACACTTGCAGTTGGTTCGAGTATATAAGTCTCGGTTTGCTCTGTGTGGACACTGAGGGTACAATATCCTCGCTGCTTGCACCACGTGACGAGCTCTGTATAGTCTGTATAGTCTTTGAACAGTATTCTTGCTTGCGCAGCGGCTGGGGACACACCAATCCAACCACCCCTCCCCGCTCTTTTGACCTGCATACACGAATGGACACTTGAAGGGATTTGAAGGCAACTTGCGCCTGAGACCTTTGCAGGAGCTCTGCTGTGACGTAGAGATTCACGGCCAGCATCCTCACAACTCCGGAAGCGGATGTGTCGACTTGGTGCCAAACCAAGCTTGGTGCAAAGCTTCTATTCTGTGATGGTTGAAAATCGCATGGTGTCGTCTAGTCATGATAGTGTACGTCCAGTTATTACCACCCATATTGCTGTTGTGTGTTGTCTTTCTTTGTCCTATTCTCGAACGGTGGCGCCATCAAACTCGCCTTTCGACACAAGAGTTAGCTATCCACATTCCGTCATCCTGCTAGAATGAAAGGGTTGTAACATGCATACGACGCTCTTCTGGTGTTGTAGCGTTGTAGCAATACAACATAAGTATACATGGTAGAGTATTCGAATGAAGGCCACATCGCCGCGTGTTGAGATCATCCTAGTGTCATGCTTGCTGTTGCTCGGCTACTGTGACAGCTGATGTTGCTCCTGTTTCCGTGCCGTCTACCGTCTGGTATGTGCTGTTCGGGTTGATGATGCGTGTGTACTGTGCAAAGCTTATGATTTGGACATCCGTTGTACCGCCAATGTACTTTCGATCGCAGGCAAGGCACAGCGGCACAGGAGTGCCAGCAATAAAGATTCGAGGAGCACCTCGACCAAAAAGGCGATGGCTCTGAGCAATATGGGCCAACAGGGGCTACTGCAGTGATGCAAAGGTTGTGCCGGGAGTGGCACGGCCAGTCACTGAGGCTCCAAATGACTCATCACAGGTTAGTCATCTAAAGAGCCAGCCCCTGACTTAAGTGTCTCTTCAGGACCAGAAAACCTGGGGTTGTCTGTTCTCGCAAGAGTCTACCAGAGTCAGCGATGCATAGCATCATGGAAATGGGGCATGGTGAATGTCTGGGGGTGCCACCTGGGTCCTGGATGGCATCGTATCCAGATTTCGCGCAGAAGAGAGCCAAATTTGGTCCCAAACCTTTCCAAGGCTTTTGTTTGCTGCTTTGGAGCCTCTGCGAATCGAGCAGCACAAAGATACATGGGTCTCAACGCAAGTGGGACCCTACCGGGCCTTGGAAGACAGCCGGCTTCACGTAGCGGAGGCCACTGGATTCCGAACTCACCATCCGGCTGAGAATGCAGTGAGCAACTGCGCACTGCTCCTGACTGACGAAGTTGATTATGGCCAACTTCGGCCAGGGCAAGTACACGAAGTCGAAGGCCCTCGTGCCCTGACGGAGGCAACAACAAGTGGCAAAGCTATCACGCTTATTATGATGGCAGACACCTATGTTATCTGACTCTGTGTGTAAGTACATGTATGGGGGGGGTACGTCCGTAGGTATGTCAGGTATGTATGTATGTACCTGTGTATCTGTGTTGCACATATGTATGCACACTTGAATGCATGTATGAATGCATGCGTGTACGCATACATGCATGCATGCAATTACGTATGTCTGTAGGAATCTGCAGACACCTGCACAGACTGATGTCAAATGTGTATTCGGACATACATACATACATACATACATACATACATACATACATGCACACACACACACACACACGCGTGCGCACGCATACGTACGCGTATACATGCACACACCCATGCATACACGCAGACAATCCCCGTACTCGCAGATGTGCTTACGCGCAGGCACCAACAAACAAACTACCCAACACGCATGTGCACATGTTCATCTTTATGTACACACCGGCTTGTAGTCAACGCATGCATGCTTATGCAAGCAGTATGACTAATTACACACCCCGCCTTCCCTCTCCCTCTCCCCTCCCTGCATCAAGTGCGCACCGGGTGCCGCTAATGGGAAAACACCGACGAGGCAAATCGGACTTCGCTTTCTCCCTCTCTCACTTCCTTCACTTCACTTGACTTCACTTCACTTCATGGGAATCTTGTCAGGACTCCCGGGTCGAGAGGCCTACTCAGAGAAACACTTCCCACGGTCGTTAAGACGTGATGGCTCAATCCCTCTGCCCTTCTCTCTCTCCCCCTCCATGCTCAGTAAAAATTGCAACAATTCTTTGTGCATGCAGCATGTGTACATTAATTATCTATTTGCATGAGTGCCCACTGCCGTCAGACAACGACATATGTCGATGTGCGAACAACTGACACGCAAGTACAGGCATGCACTCATACGGCGAAGGGCACAAACAGAATCTCTCTCTTGTCTTGTCTGGTCTGCGGTGCATATTGAGCGTGTCAAGCCTCCCCGCGCCGACAGGCTCACCCCCGTTTAGGGGCTCTGTAGGATGGAGTGACAGCATCAGCATGTAGGAAGCTCGCTTGATTCTCTCTCTCTCTCTCTCTCTACCAGGCCAGAGGGAACGAGCGGACGCCCGAACCCTCGCGCGCGAGCGCTCACCTGCGTCTCTCTCTGTCTCTCTCTGTGTCTCTCTCTTCTTCAACTCAGCCAAAGGAAGGCTCTGTCAACCCCTCTCCGCGCACGAATGCGCACTGGTCGAGAGCCTTGGTGTGAGAAACACTGACGCGATGAGGCACGGGCTGGACTCCGTACTGACGCCCCTGCACGTAGAACATCAAGCTACTCAGCCCCCCAGCCTCGCGCCTCGTCTTTTTTCCCCCATATTAAGGGCAACTGTACTGCTTCTGTGTTGCTTACCAGTGTTCTGTTTGGGGACACCACTTCGGTGTCAAAGGCAGCGCAGAGTATTGTAGTATACGGCTCCTCATTGCCGAGGGTTGCCATGCACATCAGGGCACTGAATGCGCACTTTATCATGTTGGTCGCGACCTTCCGCCTCCGGGTTTCATCCAGATAATACCGTTGTCCGCTTTCCGGGAAGGTGGCAAGACGAAGGGAGGTCCCCTCCCAAGTGCAAGTGCACCTGCAGTTTCCCTTCACTTCACTTCGAGGCGTAGGAGAGTGGTCAGGTCACCGGGCTGATTGGCCCACCCCTGTGCCAGGGCTTTGTGCGGAGACGTGAAAAAAAACATTTTGTACCCCGGCAAGAAGACACGGTGGTGCATTTCGGCCCACCCAAGCACCCCCTGTGCTATGGAGTGGACGGGTTTGGGTTGAGGGCTCTCTCTCTCTCTCTCGCTCTCCACGCTGCCTTTTGGGAAACCTAAGCTACTTCGTGACCCATTGAGAGAACAAGAAGAGCGGTGTCAGCGGAGCAAGGCCAGTACGGAGCGGGTATGAGCTCCGTACGCAGCATTATAAGGCGGTCTGTAGCATACCCCAGATATCTATGGACTCGAGTCGCAGACTCTGCTACGTCAATGCCAGCGATGACGTGCGGTTCGCTGGCACACACAACCTGGGACTCAGAATCACGCTTGCTCTTGGCTACACAGAGTCTTCAGCTACTGTACCTCCCGCGACTGTCACTGAGATGGTCGCCCATTTGCCTTCGTGGGAGCAGTTCACATTCCAATTGGGAGCCTTGCCACGAATTGACGTGTCGTACTCTGTGTGACGAAGAAAGGAGACATCCATCTTGCGCCTCGTCTTCGGGAGGCAGCGGCTGGGCCAAGAAGGGCTTCCTGTGCTCAGGCAGCAGACTGGCTTGTTTTGCTAGCCCTGTAGCTCCATATCAGTTGTCAGTGGTCGCATCGCTTTGGCAGAAGACCCACACCCTTTCGAGGGAGCCAGACCTGTGAATCCCATCTCCCACCCAGAACGATGCAACTGCAGGTGTGAGCTTGCATTTCCGGTAATTTTCGAAGATGCTCGAAGCTCCTTGATTTGTTCATTCTGTGTCTGAGGGGCATGAAAGTGCGGATCCTCTGCCTTGAATGAAGCGACATCCACTTCTACCATAGCTACGATACCGGAAGCATCGTGGAGTCCTCTAACATGCTCCTACGAATTTCGGCTCGAAATCCTTGCAGGACTGGCACATTGAATACGGTTCAGCATTTTGTCGTCTGGGACATAATGCAGCATCAACTCAACTCCAATATTGCCATCTGAAATCAGCTCTGGCGAGAGACGAAGTCCCTTCATACCAATTCAGACACGGGGAAAGAGCCGCTCTGCTCGACTTGAGCGACCCAGTCAGTCGCACCGACCCTGGTCCGGACACTGCACGAAGTGGACATCGTCTCAGAGTAGGAGCTTTCACGAGCACACCGAGACATGTTCAGCATAATATGCTTTTACAGTTCCGCAAGAAATCATATGAGTATGTCTCGGCTGCAACTAGCATTGTTTCTTCCGGCTGACGCAAGCACACGTTGTGCTGGTGGCTCGCTGCATCACGGTGCCCAGCAAGGGCCAATCCAGGGGAGGTCCCCCATGACGACCACAACAGCACTCGCAATTTTGCAACGTAGAATTCTCGTGATGCAAACCTTGCACATGCAACGCGAGTCCACAGGAGCAAGCAGCAAGCATCTGAATTGCCAAGAAGTCTTGTTGCCCGGAACGCTTGTCTCTGTCGAGATAGTGAATGCTGGCACTACTACACCATGCGACAGCGGTGTAATGCTGGCTGGAAGCGATGCAGCTGAAGCTTAAGTGTAGTCATCTAAACAGCTAAGCTGCATCATGCAAGTAAATGCACCAACCCATGCTGAGCTCCTGACTTACCCTTGGTCCTCTTGATTTCGATGTCTTTGAAGTTTGTCATGTTCCTCACAGCCAGCAGCTCACTGCAGACTACACCTGCACAGTGCGCAAAGCACAAGTGCCCCATCTAAATGCCACAGAGCTTCAGAGACGATGCACTCGCCTGACCTCGCTTCCAGCATGTCATCGGCCACCCGAGAACTAGTACCGCAGCTGCATGACATGCGAGGTCACCATGTCCAATCTCATCGTGTGCGTTGCTCGTTCCACCTGTTTGCTTTCTTGCTGCTGAGCGTTACCGCGGCCTGGGGCCTTGTGCCACCCATCAGCAGCTTGGTGATGGCAACATCAGTATGAGTTGAACGTTGTTTTCTCGGCAAGGACTGCGTGCATCTCTGCTGCCTCATGGTGCATTATCATGCTGCATCTGTGACTCTTCTGATGACACTTATGAATGAGTATAGGACCTAGGATGAACCCTCCTGCGCTCAATAAGTGGTGGAATGAAGGCAGAGTGAAACTAGCGTGCTCATTGTCATCCTGTAGAAGCAAGAGGGGAGAGAGCTGCCAAACGCACAGGAAGGCATGGAACGCATGGCGTGCCATGGCATGGCCAGCCGCTCAGGCCGGTTCAAAATGCTTCGCACTCACTGACAGCATCGTGGTGCAGTGGGACTTGCATTTCAGGCCCGTTGCAATGTTTGGAAGCCACATCGCTGGTTGCGTGCGCGTCGTGAACTTGCAAGCGCCTTTTGCAGCTCTTGGTGGCTATCCTGCTGAAAATGCTAAAAACTTCGCCCATCTTCGCCATCTTCGCCCTGATACCTCCGTCTGGCATGGAAGACATCATGGCTGTACTCCTGACTTCGAAGATTACATGTGTGTACATATATTTATATATATGTATGTATGTATACGTACTGGCTGTTGACCTGCATTCCTCCATGTCGGAATGACCTTCTTCGCGTAAAAAAAACTTTACTTTCTCAGCACCATCGCGGAGCACTTAGTGTTCTTGAAAATTCGTACAGACCCAATATCTAAACGCTATTCTAAAACGTGCCTTACGGGTTTCGCAGAGCATGTTTGCAAGCTTCTCAAAGCTCAGGAATTGCAAAACTTCCTGACAGTTTCTACAATTTGCAATATGTCGTGCAGGAGCAAGCACACCTTCAACCTTGGTCATCCTTGGTGGCGCGAAAACCCACTAAGTGCAGGTGTAGCTCTTTGGCATGGCCACGATAATTGTGGGTGTGCTATTTGTGCACGAACTGACAGTGCGAGAGTTGCATTGAGCGCCCTAGCTCTTGGTTCGGATCTGCTTGGGTTCGAAGAAAGGTCAGTCAGTGTGGGTGTTGTGTGTGTGTGTGTGTGCATGTCAAGCCCTGTTTGCCAAGGGATAGGACAGGTCTTGCATTTCAGCTGCAGGGGTCCAGCTCTCTCGTCGTTGGTGGATGGCCAACGAAGAGGCCAATGACAAGAGCTCAAAACGTACCTGCGCTAAGATGTGACTTTTAAATCCAGCTACTCCCTTAAAGGAGTTTTCCATGTGTGCGCACATGTCTATGCGAAGGGGCTCGGGTTAGGGTTGGGGTGCGCGGTGTGGGGAGTGGTGTATGCGGTGCGACATGCCTGAAACACAGCGTATGCACTACTAGAGGCGGGGAGCTTTCCGCGAAGAAGCTTGCAAATTATGATTAACCAACCCAAATGCGCAGAGGTTTGGTTCCATCGTTAAGTCCAATAACGCATGAAAAGACAGTGTCTTCAGCACAAGCTGATGAGGTAAGGCACAGGCGCACCAACAGTCTAGAGACAAGAGCCCGCTTTTGATCCTCCAAGAACTTGAATCTCATGACCTGGCTGTCACACTCGCAAGCACCGAGCATTAAGACATTTCAGCAGGACGTCTTGCGATCGGACGCAACAGCGGCACACCCACTGCTGGCGTGTTCCAAAACACAAACCACAGGCCAGAGCATCGGCTTTTCTGTCTGTCTCTTCCTTGATGAGGTGCAGCAAAAATTGAAACTCTTTGCCATCCTTAGAAGGCGGAGGCCCGGTGTAGGCACGCTTTCTCTGGAAGGAGCTTTGGGCTGGGGTCCAAACGGATCCGCCCTCGGGGTGCCAGGCATCAATGTTGACAGCCTGAAGCAGATGTGTGTCGACACCTTGCAAATCTCTCCCCTGCTGCTCGGGCCAAAACCCAGCGATGACGGTATCCGGAGCTTGGTCCGACTATTTCGCGATGCTTGATGGGAAGGCTCAAGGCCTTGATGAACAGAAGAGGGTCGAAAGCAAGTGGCAACAGGGGAGGCTTGGGCAGCTTCCGGGCACTCAAAGCTCAAGTGCGTGTACAACTCAGTTCAAGGCCATTTTGCCACTATCCGACGGCGTCACATCTGACTCGTCCTTCCGAACACAGCAGAAACAAGGCTATTCTAAGCCTTGACGTTCAGTGACACGCCTGTCGCCGCAGCAACTCTTTTCCACTGATCCGCACGCTCACCCAGCCCTCCTCGTCCATGCAGACACCAGAGGAAGAGAAGACACCAAGCCAAACGACTGAGCCACAGACCTCGGGGCCAGTACCAGTGATTCGCCGGAAATGAAGACGCTCGCCAGATGTGTGCAGTTCCTCAACCTCCAGGGCTGTACAGGCACGGTTTGCTGTTCAAACCGTATTGATATTTCATGAAGAAGCATGAACCATTTTCCACGACTCATCAAACAAACCGACCCACCATCCTGCAAGCAAATAAAAGTGTCGATCATCGCAAAATTGATCTTTCATCGTCTTAACATGGGTGTGGAAAAGCACGGGCCGGCGTGGAAGGCGAGGGAGCAAAACCAGCTTAAACAAGCAACGGTGCATCAAAAAAAAGTCGACCCGCAACACCTCCAGTAGCACAGGGACAAGGAGACGTGGGCAAATCGACCTGCACAAGTGGACCAACCAGGAGTCTAGAAGTTGTAAACTCAAGAAGCCACGAACACACCACTAACCAGCGATATCAATCAAGCAAAAGACAAAAAGCCGGCAAACAGCCGCTCGGCCGCGAGAAGAAAAATCGCACGTGACGAGGGAAGCGGTGCCTGAGTAAAGCTGTAGATTGCCGACGACAAACCAGATTTTCGACAGCATCACATTTTCTCCTGGACATCTAGTTTGTGTCTTGCAATGCGATGTTGGGCATGGAAAGGAAGAAAAATGCGTTGAATAATTTTGAAACAACGAGACAGGTTCCATCACAACTGTTTTTCTTCGACTCTGGCCTTAAGGCATCAACACACCCAAGAGCGAAGCGCCCACAGCCACACATGCCACACGCGCGTATTCGTGGTGACGCTGCCGAAAATGTTGAGGCTACTTGTTCACTAGTGTCAACAAGAACGCAAGCAGATGCACCAGCAACTTGTCGCGCAATCCTCTGGCGATTTCACAGTTTCCCTGCGCACTTGTTTTTCGTTGCTAGCTCTTTCTCCTGTCTGGACGCAATCTTCTGCATAGCACGCTGCGTCGCGCCCTGAATTTATTCTCAAGTCGAGGGTCAGCCTTTCTTGAACTCAGGCTTCTCGCTGCACTGCCACGTGAGAGGTGCTGTGATGTGCTGCCCTGGCAGGCACGTTGACCATTTTGGCCTCACAAGTCGATGGGGTGTGGGGAGTAACAGGAACCGGTTTGGGGAGCAACGGAAACCATTTCTGGGGGTCGTCACGGAGTCGTCACCGGAACGAGGGCTAGTAGAAACAAGAACCGCACCGGGAGCAGAACAGGAACTGTCCCAAGAAAGACAAGTAACTGAAACTATGCTGGAACTCGTGTATGGGGGACCGGTTGTCGGTCCCCTTTTTGACGCCATGAAAGCCTTATGCTGACGCCTATGTTTCGTCTGAGGCATTTAGAGTTTGGGGTTGAAACAGATTCGCGGTTTGGGATCTCGGATGCCAGCGGCAACACACTCCTTGTCTGAAGCCACAAGTTGTTTCTTCACATTGTTTTGGTCGGTATGGATGTTTTCATCTTACAAGAAAGTTCGTACCAATGCAAGTCGAAGTTGTCGTACTACGAGTATTGCTATGTACTACTACTATTGGTTGCGGGGCTAGGCTTTTGCACGCCATCGTGGACTGACCCGCGCCAGTTTGGCTGGCTTCCTGGGTTGAGGGTTTAAGCTTTCGGGTTTTCGGATTCTGCGTAGGACGAAGAAAGAAGTGACGAGACTACACACAGGAGCTTTCGTCATACGACCGTGCACACACGTCACGAAATTTGCATTTTCACTCGCAACAGACACAGGCAGTGCTATTCTGGAGTGTTGATGGCAGCACCGATGCTGGTCAGTGTGTCGTGCTACATGACATGACATTTTGAAGCCGTATAAGTGGAGGACCGGAACGCGCGGACCACAAGTCATTCTTGGAGCCCTGCACTTGTTCCTGTTACGAAGGGCTGCCTGGGGGGGTGTTACCGGAATTGGTGGTTGCTGTTACGGGATCGGTCCCCGTTCCTGTTACGGGTTCCCGTTNNCCCGTTACGGACATCCTGTTCCCGTTGCGGCAAACACCCAAGCCGATGACTCACTCTACACTGAGAAACCAAGCGACGTCGACTGGTGATGATGGCTGACACGCAGCATTTGAGGATGCTCGTGTCGACTTGGGCCAGGGTCAGGATTTTCTTTCACGTTATCAGATTAGCAGAGCTGCTAGCAACATCTCACAAACCTGGAGCGTCGGGCTTTCTCAATCGCAGAATTCTACGGCATCGGCAGCGTGCGCGCACACACACACACACGCACACACACACACACACACACACACACACGCACGCACGCACACACGCACGCACCC